GTGTGTGTGTGTGTGTGTGTGTGTGTGTGTGTGTGTGTGTACAAACATTTGAAATTAGATGTAAAGAAATAGTATTATGTAGTATTGGTATACGGACAGATAGAGAGTTAAACTTAAAAAGACAGGACCCGGATCTGTCGTATCTGTTTGGACTGACCTGTTGCTGCGGCTGCTGACTGGTGGACAGCGTCCAGGGAATGGACAAAACACGTTTGAGGAACTCACAGTCCTGGGAAATAGAAAGGTGACAAAGTATGTGAAAGTACCTGAAGTTAACTGTATGAACTGGTCACATCTATTATAATATATACGCATAACATTTACATAAGTTGATCTGATAGCATCTCATGTCCACGGAGATGGAGATAATATGAGCAGTCACAGGAGGACTAAGAGCCTTTCAGTCCCCAGACAGCAATACATGTCTACAGTATAGAGTTTTCTAACTCTTGACTCTGTAGATTAAGGGAAGTTGTAAGTCCCTCAGAACTGGATCATGGCAAACACTATGCAACCCTACCTTTTTTTGTTTCCAAATAATTACTAAAAGACACGCAATTTTCTAAGGTATTAAAAAAACGTTTCCCACTCATTGCCACTAATAGGGCCTCTACAATTTGTTAATCTAACTCGGCATAATCGGTGGGGATAATATTTTTTTGCCTAAACCAGGTCTATTAGATGCCATGGCAACACACTTGTGATTTCCATAAGGTTTAATTGAATTTAAAAAAATAGAATGAAAAAGCATGTGAGTGTTATTTTCAGTAAGAGGGATAATCTATGACTAGTCCTGATGAGAAAATCCCGAAATTTGTTCATTATATCTGGGAAAATATGTTTGCTGTGATACCTCTCAAAATTGCTTTCAAACTAAAAACAAAAAGAAAACGTCCACCTTTCAGTCGAAGGGATATAACTAAATGTACAAAAATAGGCTAAGCTTTTACTCTAGTCTAATCCTTGTTTGTTTTTTGGATACTTTTCAAACCTTATGTAAAAAAAAAATAAAAAAATAAAAATCCAACAAATCAAAAGCATAGCTTTAAAAAATGGACAAGACCCAAATGAAACAAATCTTTCAGAAACAGAGGAAATCAAAAGAAGCTCCATCCCCTGCAACCATCCAACTCCCTAGATTACGACAAATCTAGACAATCGTATTTTAAGGTAAAATTACTCCTCCTCTCACACATCTACAACTCACAATGCCTAAGCCTCGACTAGCAACGTAGAGTGCAAAAAGATGTCGGTCGATTCCCTTTCCATTCATAGCATCCTTGTACATTTTGGCGTGACGCTCGCACGCCGCCTTCAAAAGTGCACGTTTTTCCTCCTCTGGCTTCTCAGCGTCCAGGAACGTTTCCACAAACTGTTTAGCTTCTGACGTCAGAGAGCGGACAGTTTCCGTACGTCCGGCTTTGTACAACCGCGTCATTGAGGCCTGGGGAGATAGAGATGATGATGACGATGGCGATGATGATGATGATGATGATGATGTTAGCGTTGTGACATGAATGTACGCACTTTGGTTTCTACAGCTTGTGTAGTCCTTTGTATTCTGAATGTTCCTGAGGAAGCCTGTTGAGGGCGAAACGTTGAACTTGTCATTAAATATTTTAGAAATACTACCAGGTCTTAATCGTTTTACCATCTGCTGTATACAATGATGATGATGATGATGATGATGATGATGATGACGACGGCAAATAGCCTACTACACTTAGGGATAGCCAGAACAAGAAAGATAATGGATGATACCAACAAAAACAAAAAACAATTTTAACGATAATGATGATGATAATGAGAAGAGCAATAAAAGGAATAACCACAAAAATGATAATGATAACAAACTTTAGTAACGAAATTCTTCATAATTTCCCAAAATTG